TTGTTTACTCAGGTGGGCCCCCTCTAACAATCAGACTATAGATACTCCTCTTGAAACCAATGCACGGTACTCTCCTACTGATGTTGTTCATTTGTCTGATCCGAATTTTTACCGGGCTGTTGTGGAAATTTTGATTTATCTCACAGTTACTCGTCCATATATTGCTCATGTTGTTCGTGTTGTCAGCCAGTTTGTTACTGCTCCTACCTCTCTTCGTTGGGGGCATTGTTCTCCATGTTTTGAGATATCTTCGTTGCACTCGGTTTCAGACCCTCTTGAGTTACGTGTCTATAGTGATGTTGATTGGGATGGTGATCGTCATGATCGTAAATCCACCACCGAGTTTTGTGTGTTTGTTGGAGAGTCTCTCATTTATGGAAGAGCAAGAAACAAGATGTTGTCTCTAGATCTTCCACGAAGGTTGAGTACCATGTTATGGTTGTAACTACATGTGAGATTATCTGGTTATAGTGGCTTCTCGTGGATATGGGTGTTCACATTTCTTCATTTACTCCCTTGGATTGTGATAAAAAAAAAGTGCGATACAAATTGCGAAGAATTTTGTTTTCCATGAGCAGACGAAGCACATTGAGATTGATTGTCATTTCATCCGTCATCCCTTACATATCGGAACCATATCCCTTCCGTTTGTTGAAGGATCTTGTATGCTCAAGAATAATATTAAAGTGATATTGCTAATTAACATATGATAATAAATGGTCATACTAACAACAACTTGATACAATTGATTATTTGTTAGAAATTGATTTTAATAAATCTTCAATAAACTCTTATAATTAAATTGAAAATTATTTGTTTCATGGAAATAATAAGTTTCATTAGCATGTAACATAATATACATATATATATATATATATATATATATATATATATATCATATGGTATGCTTTAAGTCATGGACATTATTTTGGACTAGAAAGACTTTTATATTTTTGCCAAAAGCCACATTTATATTTTATAAAATAAAGAGTTTACAAAATTAATAAACTTTATGTCTTCTTTTTTATAAATCATGGGAGGGTTAAAAGACATGGACTTTTGATTA